ATGACATCGAAATTCGAACATACTGAATGCCCACTAGGTTACCCACCCAGCTAGCGAACTAAACACAGTTTTAAAACATGATCGATTTAATAATAAGGTAGGATATAACAAAACAATAAAGTTCTAACGTTGTTTATTTAGTAAATTGCAACATTGCTTAATACGTGTTGAAAGCTGGTAAACTATATTTCAATATTGTTTACGCATTGATTATCAGCCCGACGATCCAGCCTACGATCATTGCAAAGCTAATTAAAATAACAATGACCTTCGTAGTGGTTCGTAGCTACAGATACGAAGCGATATTTCCTGTCTGTACTGTAGGCCTACAGAGGCTACGGTATAGTCAACAGATTGGAATGGAAAGATTGTGCTTATAATTATGCATGTTTGGGTAAATAATTTATACAACGATGTCTATTGTGAATGTTTTTATTATTTTGTTATTATTTTATTTGGCTAATTGTTCTTTTTTCACAACTTTTTGCTGACGACTTAGGTCTACGTTAGGCCTATTCCTTATAGGGACTTTTCTATTTTTATATTTTATTAGTACTCTTTTTTTACACACACTAACTTTTCACCTAGAAAAAAAAAATCCTAAACACATGAATTATACATCAATTGAAGCTTATTCTATAAGGAACATTTACTTTTGAAACATATTTTTGTAAAAAATTCAGAAAGTTCTAAAAAATTAATCAGGAAGGCGTACACTCAAAAACGCATAAAAACTTGTTACACTGCAAAAGAATCTGGGAATCAAGGGTTTGCACTGCACAAAGAATCCAGGATCAAGAGGGTTAACTTATAAACATCCTCTAATTGGCAAATTGTTAACAATTAAGAATGAAAAAAAAAAAATGCACAAAATCAATAACACACTATTATGGTAAATACCTGCAGTAGTATGCTACAGTACTGAGCGAATCAGGAGCTATAATTAACTGGGACTACTAAGAAGACCACTGTCATGATTACTTCTGTAATTGCTAACTAACCTCTTAAATCAAAGGGATTCAATGCAATTTCTTGAATGATATGGTCGATTGATTGATTGTTTAATTATGTTGACCAAGGTGCATGATCAGTCAGAACAAGCTTAGAATAAAGTTTGGATCAAAAGAAGCAATGAACATTTATTGTATATATGATCATTCGTTATTTTGACATTTATTGAAAGGCACAAGTAATTAATTAATTGGTCATTAAAAATTAAAAACAAAATTGTGTTGTCTTCATTAGTTTATTCATGAGGAATACCATACAAAATACAGAAATAAGTACAGTACCACTATGTACAGTGAAGTGTTGTGGTGTACTGTATGTTCAATCTCATTGGCTTTCGGAAATTCAGAGGTATTTGCAGCAGTGCTCCAAGCTCACCAAGGCACTGATTTGCCGAGGCCCTTTTTTTGCAAAATAAACTTAAGAATGTACAGTATCGTGAACCTGCAGTGTACAAAAATCTGATTTTTCCTAAACTTAAGTGTTTCGTCATGTAATACATTTTGACCAAAAACGACATTTGTAAAAACAAAAGAATTTCATCTCCCTTGATTTTCATACACCACTGATTCATGGCACATCCATTACTGGCTGAAACCTCTCGGAAATATCTAATCAATATAAAAACTGTAGATGACACACAACAAAAACAATGATAAATGA